ATTGGTCCACTAATACTATCTGTTTCAAATCCATTCTACACTGCCCCACTATCTTTCTAAAGTGCTAACTGTACATGTCACATCATCACTCAAAGAAATGTAATGGCTTTTATCTAGTAAGTCTAAATTACTTTACCCTAACACTGGAGGCTCTATAAAATTTCATTTTATTTATGTGAATACCCTGCTCTAGTTGAACAGAGCCAGTGGATAGTGGCCCCCTTTATTTACTGTGCTCCTAGGAATTGAGGTACAGCATAGTCCTTGCTCCTTATGGTCTAGCATTCATATTTTACTACTATATCTCAAGTGTTTCTACTTGTGATGGTTTTACCTAACAGAAAGTGCCTTTCTCATTTTCTCAGCACATTTAAGTATTAGAATTAGCACATATGGAAGAGCCCCCAAAATGGAAGCCTTCTTTTGGAAGGTGAGACCAGTAAGACCAGACAGGTAAGATGACATTAACAGGCAGTTTTATTATGTACCAGTGCTTAGTGTGTAGCGGGCTTTTTGCTAAGTGATATCATATATTATTTCATTTAATCTCCATGGACTTTTGAGGTAGGTATTACTACTAATGCTCAAAGATGATTTGTCTATGGCCACTCAGTGAGTAAAACAATGGATAAAAATCCAGATCTATTTCAAATCTCACAATTTTGCCTTATGTTAAATTGCTTGAGCTACTGCAGAAGATGGTTTGTAAATGAGATTTGGGGATACCCAAGTCAAAGTGACCTTTCTGTCTTAGCTATCTCTTTGGCAAAACTCTATAGAGTGCTTCCAAAGTCTATTTGCATCCCCAGTATCTGACAAATACTAGATTCTGCATTTACACCCACGAATGTTAAAAATACTTTGGAGCAATGATTTATGCCAGGTTGTTCTAAAATGATGCAAAAGGATGCACTGATTTCTAAAACCCTCTATCAACCCATGATTCTGAGGGAACTACAAGGTGACAGAAGTGAAAGAAACACTCAGTTCAGCCATAGTGAAGGCACTCTCAGTTTAGACTTCCTGCAAGAAAAGGTCTCGACAATGCTGGTCATCAGTTTGGTGTCCCTTCAAGGTATGTCCGTAAGAACCTTAGGCACCCCAAGCAATGAGAGGACTATACCTTCACCACCTTGATTGTTTTCCAAGAGGGGAAGGATGTAAAGGAAACCAAGAGGAAAATGTTTCTTAACCCCTGGCTATCCACAGGAAAAACCAGTATCTGAGTGAAATTGATTCAAAGGTATGAATACAGACGAATCAGACTTTCCACTGGGTAGGAAGTTTCAGACGGTTAGAAAAGAAGCCCTGAAGAAGAGGCAAGTAAATAACATACAGCTACTGCTACTCATTGGCTGTATAGAAGGCAACAAGCTGAGGCAACAGATCTTTGGCTATTATGTGAAGATCAACAAGGCAAAAGACAAACTTGCTCTGGAGGTGGATTTTGAACAACGGAAAGCTGATAGCCACACTGAGTATATTAAATGCAGCTAAATCCTCTGCATACCATTTTTCAATATCAGTGAGTGTTTTCAATATTAAATAATAAAAAGACCAAACATCCAATAATCTCTCATTATGCTTTTGCATAACAAGTAACTGATAGAAGTTTTTGTCTGTCCTTGGCATTCTTAATTCCATTTTACTAGGCTTTCCTCAAATCAGTAACTGCCAGTTTGGGTGTCCCAGGATGTAAGCTCTATAAACAAAATACTGTGTCTTGCTAACCCCAACAGAAACAGTCCCAGACACATAGTAGGCTCCTAACAAATCTGTTAAAGAACTTGTATGATGGGTCACACAACCCTTCCAAGTAAATACAGCATCCTAATTTCTCACTGGGAAACAGGTACAAAGAAGTTAAATGTTGCCCTTCAAAGGAATGAACGCAGGTCCTTCTGACTCTAACACCTTACACTGTCAGCAGTGACCTACTGTGTGCATAAAAGCACCTGTACCGCCATCATGACCCTCCCCATTTTGAGACTGCCTCCTGCAGAAACAAGACCAGTGAATAGTCTCTATTTCCACCTCTGAACTGCAAAGCATAAAAAGAGATCTTGGCAAGGACTTTTCAAATGTTAAACTGTGCCAAATGCCCGTGTAAGCAAGAATATCAAGCACTCTGATCCTTCAGACATTTATTGAGGCCAAATTTCCTCAGATGGTTAGGCCACTCTGTTATTTGTAAATAAATTTTTTCTTCAGGCACAATAAAAGCTCTCAGGCAAAGAGAAAATTGAGTCTAGCCATACAACTTTCTAGTACTTACTACATTTGACTTCCAAGTTATCCTAGAAGAAAATTATCTGTGAGCTCTTTTCCTTTTCCCAGTCAAGTGAAGAATTAAGCTTTTCATACATTTTTGTTTTTTGTACCGGAGATCGAACTCGGGACCTTGCACTTGCGAGGCAGGCTTTTCTCCTACATCCAAGTAGCTTTCAGGTATTCAAAAGAAAAAGGCTAAATATCTAATTAAATTAAAAAATATACACTACTTATGAGCCTCTTTCTTTTTATCCTCCTCCAACTCAAGGTTTAGTAGAATTATGGCAGAGGTAATGTTCAGTGAAATTAAATGTATCTATTTTCTTGGGCAAAGAAAGACCACATAGATTAAGCTATTGTGCTTACATGTGAGGAAAAGGATGAGGGACGTTTTGCGGATCTCTGTGCCTCACCTAGCTCATGAAACTAATTTTGGTGAATATCTTTGTCTCATACTCTCTGTACCAATTCACATGTTATGCATGAAAAATCGATCTTCACCTTTATCTTGCACTAGCAGTTGAACCCAGGGCCTTTGCACTGAGCTAATTTGCAGCACTTTAAAAAAATTTCTTGACTTTGAGAGAGTGGGTTGATAGGTCACTAAAGATGCCCAGACTGGGCTTAAACTTGTAGTCCGCTTGCCTCAGCTTCTGAGAATGCTGGGGTTACAGGTCTGTACCACTAAGCCCTGCTAAACTTTTAAAGTGGCATCTACTTCTTTGTCCCACCTCCAGCCAGGAGAGATTGAAGCTTGGCTCTCTCCTTATTTCCATCAGGGTTAAGATTTGCCAAAATTGCAACCCCCACTTTAGCGATAAAACACAACACATACCATGTTTCTACTTTCCTTTTCCATCTTCTCTCTAGTCATGAGGGCTGTCACATCTATAACCCAGGACAGGTCAGGCTATCATGACATCAAGTATCTTGTTACTATTCTAAGTTATAAGGCAATAATACAAACTTTTCATCTTATTTCCACAGTTCTGTAAGCCTTGTGCCAAAAAAAAGTTTTAAAAAAATTACAGCAAGATAAAGCCGACAATACACACACAGAAGACAGACACAAGACATGGAAGAACAGATGCTAAATCCAAGAAACTGGAGGACAAATCAATATTCTCCTTGGCCTCCCTTCCATACTGACAGAACAAACCTTCCTTCTTCACATCTCAGCTCCAGTAAATAAAAAAAGAACAGGTTCCACAACAGTTCTCAAATACTAAGTAAGTATTGTCTTTTTATACCACAGAACCACTTTCTTCCCTCCTCCCACTACACAGTAAAATAAGCAAGTTGAACAAAATGAGAACACCAATTATGGGGGGAAGAAATTTTTATTTAACCCTGTAAAGAGAGAGGAAATGAGCAGATAGGTAGGAGAGAGGAAGAGTGCCAGACCTACTGAATGACCTCGCATAAAAATGAGACGAAGACAGACCTTGCTGCCCTGCAGCATCCACACAGCACGAGTGGAAGATGATCTATGCAGACCAGGTGCACCAGGCTGGAACTGCCCAGCTTCCCTAAGTGCTGGCCAACTCCGTCGTTTTTCTCTTTTTAAAGCACATGCCCAGAGCACTGTTGATAGACCTTTCTTCTAGTCTCAGGATGTCACTGGACAGATGATGTCTTGTTGCAGGTAAGCAGAGAAGAGACAGAACATTTCTGATAGCTGGAAGCACATGAGTAAAAATGTAGGAACACAAGAGTTTAGCTGAAGCTAAATGGCAAGCCATTGAAAGAAACCAGTCTGGCAACATACCTCTTAATTTCTGTCTTCATCCTTCTGCTCTGTTTCTATCAGGGTAAAGGCCATGATGAATTGGCCTCTTTTTCCGGGACTTTAATTCTCCCTGGGTATTTGTTGGGAGGGGAAGAACTTTTTTTTTCTGAATGGCTATTAATAGTATTACATCATTACAACTTATGTAGTTTTTGTTTTTGCTTTTAAAGAAGGAAAACAGATACCTTAACTGTGATCTGTGATCCTTGGCACAGAACTACCGAAGGTAAGAGCTAAAGGTTAGTGGGGACCAAGAGAAGTAAGGCCAAGAGAGATGAATAAAATCCTTATTGGAGACCGTACTGAGCCTCAAACTAAGGATTTTGGACTTTCATGTTTTATAGGAGAAAGAACCACCAGGCCCAGAGTCAAAAGACTTGGATTCCAATTCTGGCTCTGCAATATGACACCTGTGTGTCTTTGGGCAAATGAAATTTTAAGGCGCCATTTCTGTTTAGTTATGTATAAAATAAGATACTGACTACTCTAGTTTCTATCTCCACAGGATTGTTTTCAAGATCAAATGAGATTCTAGATTTGGAACCCAGAGCCATTTGAATCCTTATCTCAAAGTTTCTAAAGTTTTCCCCACTAAATCACATTCACTTTAATCTTCCTCTAGTGGCTTTATGTATACCAATTATGTTTTTAACTAAATTTTAAGCTCGTGTGGGCAGAGGTGTCTTTGGCTTTCTACTATTCAAATAATTTTTTGTAACTTCTCAGCACTATGCAATCACTGGAAGTCTCGTAAAGATGACCTGTCTAGCTGTAGGAAAGGTTTCATCTATTGTACTCTATTAATTAGAGTCCACATATGAAAATCTGAAGAAAAGACACATGATCACTGCCCACATTTACTAAGACATTCAAGAGCATTAGACCATTATCTCTGACTTGAACTAAGCAGAATAAACAAGACAACCATAAAGCAACGGTCTTGTTTCTCAAGAATTTATTTATTCTGCTTATCTCAGGATTCATTTAAACAGAAATTTGAAATACTTGTATGTTGGTTTTCAAGATGTTGATACAATTGATTTCAAATAAGCCTATAAATCTGCATGCATGAATAGGTAGTTTTCTGAACACACATCTTAACTCCAATCTGTATGAATGATTCACAACCATGGGTTTTGAACCTGTGAGTCCATGGGGTAATTACAAGGAATCTATATACCTATTATTTTCTATTAAAATGTGTACCTTACAAATATGCATTATATTTGTAATTGGATGTTACATCTATATTTCAACTAGATGTTGATTCTGGTATAACTAATAACGACAAATTGATTTAAAAGCACTACTGAAATCATAGCACCTTTTTGTTATATTAACCAAAGCATATTAGAAATATAGCTGTCATCTGGTTGGGAGGGAATCTAATCATTTTTGGATCTCAAAAATGGTACTTCTTATTAGGAAAAGTGAAGAACTACAAGTTTACATCCTCTGACTCACAGATCTAAGTGTCCTAGTTTAAGGAGGAGAGGTAACACATAAGATTCCACTTCTGTGGACACTATCTAAATATAATTTGCCAGCTATGAAAAAAGTCCTAAAATTGAATGCCTATAATTCATCATCTGTGACAGGTATAAGAGATAAAAACCTCATGCCCTTTGGATCAATCAAAGGCTATATTTTGATCCTGGAGAGTATCTCCAATTGTATGCACTGTATTCTGTACTTTCAGTTTAAATCGTTGCAGCATCCCTGTGGCTCCCAGACTTGAGAGATGAAAACACTGACATTACTGAAAGCTAGAATTTCCCCCACAGGACAACCATCTGTGGTACATTTATCCCATCAACAACCCCTTCCCCTCAACTGTGTCAGAAGCTATGAAAATAATTTTGGAAACTCAGTAAGAGTACTCTTACCCACTTACCAGTCAGTCACCTTCAACTTATCTCCACTGGATTATTCCTGTACACAGGACCTTTTATCTTTCCATCTCTATCATAAAGGGCAAAGAGGGTTTTTTCCTCTTACACCAAGAATCTTGAAGTGCCTGTCACCTCTAAAACTCCAAGGGCTATTTTGTTAGGATTTAAAGACCCAGACAATGCTCTCCTTCTGATTTAATTTTCTTAAAGCTGATACATTAGATTTATATTCCTGGAGGGAACAGCTCCTAGAAAACCAGGGGGAAACTGAGGCATAAAGGAGGTCATGAGATACTCAATTTGTCATCAATAATTTATCAAGAAATTTTTTAGGGCTGAAGATGCAGCTCAGCGGTAGAATGCATGCTTAGAATATGTCAGCCCCTGGGTTCAATCCCCAGCACCAACAAAAATAAATAAATAAATAAATAAAAGTAAATTTAAAAATCAAGGTAATACTTGAGTTCAACTGACGATATAATATAGAAACAATGGATAATAAACACCCTTTCCTCAAAGTCATTTGTTCCGATTTTTAGAAAGACTAGGTTTTTACTTTTGCTACAGATCAGGTAACAAAGCACCTGCTCAAACTAATGTGTCCATGAGAAGAGAACTTATAGGAACCAGGGCCTGGTGCTATGGAAATGAGAGAAGCATACTATGAGGCTATAATTCTCTTCTGCACCACTGCTCACTGTTCCTCAGCATCCACCATTATCTCTTCTTCCTCCAGGGTGAAATGTGTATATACTCATGTCTGCAAGTATATACATTATGTAGATATACACAAATGCAAATAATATACATACATATAGATACATGTATATATATATATTGCAATACACAGGCACAAACAAGAAATTTTCCCTCTAATAGCCATTTAATGAAAGTGAGACTTGCTAGGGCCAAAAAATAAGTTGTTCCTCCAAAATCTTCCTTCTAACTTGAGAATGAATTTTGGACCATAATACTGCTCAAAGAAAACATTTATGAAGCACTTGCCCAACTGTTATGCAGCAAATATTGATAATGAGCTAAGGGATCTATTTAGTTAATATTCATTTCTACATTCTCAGCCTAAGATAAATTACTTTTTATTATAAACTAAAACATTGTAAGAGTCAAGAAGCTATATAGCAACAGGGACAGTATGTCATTCTGGAGTCTGCATATATTTCAACTCCAGAGAACTCGCAATAAGAATTCTGAGAAAATATTAATTTCTTCCTTTGTTTTTTTTGATAAAGTTTTGCTATGTAGTTCATACTGGCCTCAAACTTGTGTCACTCTTCCTGCCTCAGCCTCCCGCATACTGAGATTGTAGGTGTGCACCACCTGTATTAATATTAATTTCTAATGTCATAATCATTTCTTATTCCAATCCATTAGTTCTGAAACTTTAAAGATGTTGGAGTTAGCAGCTAAATGTTCACCTCTTTGCTCTTTCCAACCAGCCCTGTTCTGCCCAGCAAAGTAACACATACGAAAAGGGGTTAGATTCACCTATCTGGAAACTATCTGAGAAGCAACAATCACTGGTCAACAAGGTCAACAAGGAACTGACCTATATAATCTCTCAACTTCCAAGACTACCAATCTCTAGGACATCTTTCCTAATTATGTATGAATCAATTTTCTTTCCCCATTTCAAGTTGTAACATACAGAAAGAAATATCTACCTACTCCATAATATGTAGGATGAGAAGTTATATTGGATAAAAGGCACAGAGTATGAAAACAATCTATTAAGCTCTGCACAGAATTCAAAGGGTAGGCTAATATAAATGTAAAGATCTCAAGTTCTCACTAAAGACTTGATGGAAAATTACAACAGTTTTCTCCTCTTTGACCATCACAGAAAGCCAATTCAAAGAACTGGTGTAGACATCTCTCCCTCGACCCCTAGAAAGTCTCCAGTCCTAAGTATGTAAGTCTTCCTGCTGCAGAAAAATAGAAACTCGAAAATCCCAGGTTATCTAGCCTTCTGCCATAGTCACTGTATCTAAGCTAAAATACTTAAAGGCAAGCTATTCCAAGAAATAATAAAGCCCCTAACCCCACCCCAATCCTACCCATGTACTAGGGAGTGAACCCACAGCCTCTGCACCGAGCCATACACCCAACCCCTTTTATTTTGAGACAGGATCTTACTGTTGCCCAAATGTGCCTGGAATTTGCAATCCTCCTGTCTCAGCTTCCTAAAGTATTGGGATTACAGGCGTGCACCACTGCACCCAACTGAGAAATAAACTTGTAACCCCAGCCATGTTCTGGTGTTAGACCAATAATTGTAAAATGTTCATCCCTAGAATGTGAGGCATTTCAGGCTCCCAGATTAATTTAGATAAAGGAGGAAAAAGAAATTATGTACACACTATATACCATACCACTGAGGCCTCTAAGCCAAGGCAGACTGCTCACTTAGCAAAACTCAAGAGGAATGAGCATTATTCTGTTCATCATTTCTATTTTTCCTCCTGGCAGTGGTTAATTTTACTTGTGACCTTGACTATGCTGCAGGCTGCCCCGGTATTTGGTCAAATATTACTCTGGCTGTGTCTGTGGGGATGTTCTGGGGTGACATTAACATCAGAGTACAAGTATGGAACAGAGCAGATTTCAATCCGTTAACATATGGGGGTGAGTCCTCATCCAATCAATCCAAGTAGTCCTGAATAGAACCAAAGATTAAAAAAAAAAGATGACTTCTCTCAAGTAAGAGGGAACTCTCTCTGCCCAACTACTTAAGCCAGGTTATCAGTGTTTCCTGTTTTTTAGATCAGAATTGAAATACCAGCTCTCCTTGGGTCTCAAGCCTGCTAGCTTTCAAACTGGAGCCTAAGCCATTGACTGTCCCAGTGCTCAGGCCTTAAGACTTGGATTGAAACTACACTAATTGCTGTGCTGGATCTGTTGCTGGCCCAGGGAAGATCTTGGGACTTCTCATCTCACGACTGCAAGAGCCAAATCCTTGTAATAAATCTCTATCTCCAAATACATCCTGTTTCTCTAAAGAACTGTATCTCCTTAACATAAATTAACCTGGAAGTCTGAGATGTTTCCCATTGTGAGAAGAAACATTACAAATTCTTTAAATAGGAGAGTCTGGGAAATAGCAAGATAAGCCTCGTATCTTTTATCAGAACAAAAAAAGTGAAAAAAATTTCAAATAATTTAGTCTGATGCTTGCTATACTGTATATTAAAAAAGGCAGATCCCTGTCTAGCACTGTGTTTTCATCCTTTGTGAAACTCTTCAGATCCTTTCTAGTTCTCTAATGTAACTAAAAACACAACTGGCCTGTCCTGGCATCTTCAGATACTAACAGGCAGATAAAATTTCCAAGGTGTCAAAGTTTTCTCTTTTCATAATTATTGTATTTTGAAGGTGTCAAAATTTCTCTGACACAGCTGATAACTGCAATGTGCTCTACTTGAATACTGAAATGTCCTTCAATTCAACATAGCTGTCTCCCAGCTAAAGTGGTCAAATATAATGTAACTTTCACATCCGCCATCCCTCTTCATCCCCAATCCAAAACCAGTATGTATTCTCAGGCCACACTGCATGAACTAACTACAACAGAGATCACCCCCAGAGAAGCAATGGCTATAGAGGTGCAATGTGAGAGGTACAGTATATGAGAAAACATCTTTTATTCCCCCTGGAACCAATCTGAATCAAAGCTTCTGGTTCACAATAGGCAAGCTATTAGTTTGGCAGATGACTCCAACTTGTTCTCTTCCCTCCCCAATTCTTTTATCTTCTATCAAAGTAAAGATAAAGATATCTTAATGCCTTTCCTCAGCCCCAAATCAGTCTGTGATAGTCAACAAAAACCAAGGAAAGACTCTTAGCCAAGAAAGACTTACCTATGAGTAGCGATCTTCTCTAAACTATGAAGGGCTGGCATGACCCTACAAATTTTGCCACTTTGTACTCCTTTTCAACATGCTTTTTAGTATACCAGCAGCTATTATATGGCCCTATTGTATCTTTCTCAGACTCTGAAGTTCAAACAACATTTTTAACATTCTTCATTTATTCAACTTTAAACATTCAAAAGAGCATATGTGTGAGACAGTGTCAGGCTGAAAAAGTAAGGCCTACCTCTTCCAGGCCTAGTTGTTCTTGGCATGATTATAATAATTGGTCTGACTCCAAGTATAAGCAGAACAAAGCACATCAGAAAAGTTTCAGAGATGAAAAACGGGCTTTAAAAATTGAAACAATGTAAAATTTCAATTCCTAATGAATAATGCATTACCAAAACCAGTGAACAGTGGAAGTGGTAATGAAGTAATCCTAGTTTTATAAGGGAAATTATTTTAAGGTTGCTAGAACAAAGGATAATGAACAATGAGTTGGGCATCGTTTAAAAAAAATCTCAGAACAAGAGATTTCAAGTATCTGTATGTGTCTTCCCCCCGCCCCCAAGACAGGGTCTCGCAATGTGGCCCAGGCTGGCCTTGCACTCATGGCGATCCTCCTGCCTCAGCCTCCCAAGTGCTGGGATTACAGGCATGCACCACCACACTCAGCCTTTCTGTGTCTTAAGAAAACATTCATTACCAAAAAGGAACCAGTATTAGATTCCTCCCAACATAAGATTCTCAAGACATGCCTTGATGGTTTCTGGAGAAAGTGCATACCAAAGCATATAATAACAGGCCACCTGTTCCTTCCTACTATGATTTTTTTTTAATTTGCTCCATGAGACTGAGACTAAACAAAATCTTCAATCTCAGAATCCTGAATTAATCAGAACTTACTCCATTGCTTATGTGGATAGAAGTAGATGCTTTTGCACAATTAAGACAAAAGGACTTTGTATCATCAGGATTTTAGGGCTCTGGTTCCTCTGCATTTACTGCAATTTAAATACACTAATGATGAGACAGAGGTTGGAGAAGGAGGTAGAAACATCCATCTCGGGGCAACATGACATACAGCAGGACCCTAGCGAGACTTCAAAGGAACTCATTCTATTCAGACAGGGGAAAACCCACATACTGTACTTAAGTTTCACACTTACAAAATTACCACTCTGAATTCAGGAATAAGAGGAATCTGGCTGTAGATACAATTCCTTTTATAGATACTAACTTTAAATTTAGAGAAGAAAAACACTCATTGCATTAATATTATGGGTTGGGGTTTCTTATGTGATTCCTAAATCCATCTACTATTTTTTTGTTTTGATACAATTTACATCTATGGTAAGAAGACTATTTCTGACAGCCCTGGTTCAGGTGTGGTCTTTAGTTTCAGAAAGTCCATCGGTCATGTAGCTGGCTATCGTTGCTAAATCTGTTGCTTGCAGAAGCCCCAGAGTTCTGGGTTTGCCGAGTAGAGTCCTCACCATTTAAGCTCTTCCTACATACAGGACATGTGTCATGCTGAAACAGAAAGAGATCAATCCATGTGAATGCTCTGGCCTGAGAGGCTAGAGATACTGAACATATAAGACACTCTAGAAGTTGGCACATCAAAAACTATGTCTTAACAATTAGACTAAAAGGTCATACATCCCTACATAGCTCCCAAACAGAACTTAAGAGGAAGAGACAGAAAGAATTCCAGGCCAGCAAATTAACAACACTTACTAGCAAATACAACTAACTAGAAACAACAATCTGAGATGAGACAGGTGGCTAACTGACCACCACTTCTCCATGTGGTCAACAGGAGTCAGCGAATTTTTTTCTTTTAAAAGGACAGGAAGTAAATACTTTAGGTTTTGCAGACCACACCAACTCTGTTTCAACTACGTAACTCTGCTATGTAACACAAAAGTAGCCACATACAGTTTATAAATAAATGAGCATAGTTGTGTTCCAATAAAATTTGATTTACAAAAAAAGACAGACGCAGGCCACTGTAGCCTGTGGGCTATAGTTGCCAACTTCTAGTCAGACAAATTCCAAAGAGAGTAATCTGACAAAACAGTGATGGTGGTAGCAGAAATTTGCCAGGGACTTGAGACCAAATCCTGATCTATTTTGCTATCTACAAACTGCTAGCTACATTTCTACTCTGAACCATTGCCCGCCCAAAGATGTGACTTGTACAGCTGCCTCATCACAAACAACAGCTGGTTTATACTCACCAGTTCTAACCACGGCACAATACAACTGCTGTGAAAGAAGTGATTGCAGGGTAACTGCCGGACTTCCTCTTCAACTGTGTAATCATCTTTACATACTGGACATTCTAAACCCGTATCTGTTAGAGGAACAAATGCCTTTTAAGGTAACCAAGCAAAGTGATGGAAAATAAAACTAACCAGTATCACTAACAATCTAAGGAATATATAAAGATGAAAGACAAAAGAAAAGTTGCATCCATGTGAGAGGCAGATAAGAGGCATGAATTATACTTCAAAATAGGAGTAGAGGTAGTAACAGATAGGGACATGAAAAACAAGAATGATAAATGGGGCCTAGTCCAGTAAGGTCTAGATAAGAACCATTTAATAGCCTACTTTCTAATGTAAAAAGTTAAAAGGAAGACACTGAGGTTTAGATTATCTGTTCAGTAAAGTAAGAAAAACATCTTCCCAAATGTGTGGCAGCCTTCTGCCAGTCAGTTTCTGCATAGGAAACAGTGGCAACCTGTATACCACAACCAAGGGACTCAACTCAGCACCCTTAGCTGCTTCCAGTCAAGCCACTTTTTCCCTGCTCTTTTACATATCATGCATCCTCTTTGAGCATGGCTCTCCTAAAGTCTTCTGTAGACGTTGTTAACTAAAAACTCTAGGGAAAGAAGGGAAAGGAATAAATATGAAAAAAGGAAAAAATGGAAACAAAGTCTTTGTAAATAGGGAGAGGGGAGGGGTTGAACGGAGGGCAAGGGAATGGGAAAAAGAAATAAGAACCGAGATATATCATGTAATGATACAAATTCCCCATGATGAATGTCATCATATTGCATACCTAAAATGTACCAATAAACTTAAACAAAAAAACAAAAAACCTCTACCAGGAAGTGGTGCTACAGCATTGTGAAGGTCAAGAGTAGTTCAGGCCTTCAAATAAAGACAGGAAGCCGCCTTTCCTTAAAGGAAATGGTCACAAACTACACTGGGAATTCCAAGCAGCAAATTGTGAATTTTCCAAGTTTGGCAAAAAATACCAGCTAGTCTAGATCTCTATTGACTAGGATATGTTCCTTGTCCCCAAAGTGGTCGAGGCATTTGGAATAGGACTACCACTTAGTAAATTCACTCCTTCCTTTCCATTTCAACAACTTCACCCTAACTCCAGCTTATACTTTTCATGCCAAGTCTACTGCAACACCCCACCAGGTAGTACTTAAGAGTTCCAGGCCTTTAACCCTCCATATATATCTTACACTTTGCTACCAGCTACTTTTCCCCGATGCTACCTTTTCAGCTCACCTCTACTTGTATTCTCAGCTGGCACTTCAAAATCAACATATTTAAAATTAAAACCGTCTAGACTGCTCCTCTTTAAACCCCTGCTCTGCTGTCTCCCATTATCTGCTCTATTTCACACACTGCCTTACATTCCCTCATTCTTCATTTTGAAGACATGCAAAACTTAGCTTCTACCTAAAACATCCAGCCCTAACTTTTCAACAAAGTCCCCGCTTTCTATCTAGTCATACTTCCCACTGTTCCCCAAATCAGATTTTATTTCAGGTCCAATAAGGTCACTCTCCTATATCGGACTTAAACATCACGCCTATGCTGATATTTTTAAATCAGTTCATACTAGGGTTAGGTGTGGTGGCATATGTCTGTAATCCCAGCACCAGAAAGGCTGAGGCAGGAGGACTGATGTGCATTCAAGGCCAGCCTGGGCTACATAGTGAGTTCCAGGCCAGCCTGAACTACACAGCGAGACTCTGTCTCCTTAAAAAAAAAAAAAAAAATTAGTTTATACTTTTCTTAAGCAAAATGATCTGACTCATCTTGCCTTTAAACATTTGACTGTAAATCTAAATGGAGGGCTGGGGATGTAGCTCAGTGGCACAGCGCCTGCCTTGAAGTGTGAGGCCCTGAGTTCAATTCCCGGTACTCCCCAAAAAAGAAAATCTAAATGGAGAATGAAACACTCAGTCCAAAATAATGTCCCTTATCACTAAATTCCCTCAGTGCTCATTCTCAGCCTCTCATTTATTCTCTTCCTCTTTCCCCAAGGTCAGTTTCACTTGCCCAACATTATTTCAAAATTTTAAATCATTTGGTGAATGTTGCTTCCACTAATAAGTTCTTCGACTATTTAGAATTAAGTTTCATATATCTTTGTACCTCTTTACTTCCAATGGTACCTGGAAAGGGGACTTGATAATGGCTCAGGAAATATCTGCTGACTAATCTCAGGAAGAGACAGGTGCTTTCCAGAATATGGTACCCAGATAGGAATTTCAGAGGTCTACAAGTTCATTTTAAGATATTCAGTATAAGAACATACTGGAATTTTGAATAGAGATCATAAGATGACACAATAAATATGAAAATAAACCTACCAACTTGTTCCTGAGTTACTGTCACTGTTGGAAGAGAAGTGATCTTTTCCTTGTCAGCTGGGGGAGGCCCTGTGTTTTCCAGTTGTCCTAAAAGCTACAAGAAAAGAAAAAGAAAATGGCAGATATCTCAAGATCCCTAGAGAGGGTGCTACTTCAGCTGAGAACAAACATTGCAGATATTAGAAATGTTAGTTGCTCTTACTTCTGCCAGGCTCTGAGAGACTTAGGTTTTCCCTTTCCTCCTATTAGAACACTTAAAATCCCTTTACAATTTCAGAGTGACATTAGTGTAAGTCTATAGACAGATCCATGATTGTAAGGCCCACCTTTGGAGATAAAGCAACTTCAGGGGGTGAAGAGTTGTGATATCATGAATAAAACTATGGCTTTGTAAAAAGTAATACTTAACTGGTACAAAAATTTCTGTCAGAAGAAGAAAAGGGGGGGGGGAGTATGGGGAGTAGCATAGGATAAGTCAAGAAACAGTAAATTACTGCCTACAAGAAGAGTTGGATATAAATGACATGCTTTCTGTGCTCAACAATCTAAAAGGGAAATGAAAAATCAATCAAATTAAAATGAACATAAGCAAGTAGAAGCAATTAGACATGGCACGGGAATACCTTTTTCTCTGCTTCCTTCCCCTACTTTGCTCCATCTAGCAGAAATCCCTGCTTCAACATGTGACCCCCTCCTTTTTTTGTGTGAAGTACTTATTTACAGGATCCTCACAGGACTGAACAAGAGGCCCAAAATACAATATACTGCTTGTTACAGGAGAAGTCTTTACTTTGTCTAGAGGTGAAACATGTTCTAGAAATCCCCTTGGACATAGTCGATACATGAATGCTAAACTAAACCCATAAACCATTCATCCTTTTAGTAAAATGGAAACCCAAAACCTCAAAACATTAGAGAAAGCAGAGTGACTGCAATTTCAAGAAAGTAGCAGAAGGAAAGCAGGAAGCCTGTGGAACCATGAGACACACTGAACAGAAACCCTCAAAAGGCAGCTCCTCACCTGGGTTACAATGGCATCAAGCCCTGTCTGACCCCAGGCATAGTCCCCAGGGTTGGAGTGCAGCATCCCGCTCCTATACGTGAGATGAGATAGACAGCATTAGATGGAGTGACCAGGCTCTGCCTTATATCACAGAAAAAGCTGGCAGAGGGATCCTGTTCTCTCTCAGAGCTTCCAAGTCACTAGAATCAAGAGGCAAAGAATTTCTCTGTATTTTCAAGGTCAAACATTATCTAGAGATAGCCTTTCATTCTCTTTGAATTTTACTTAAGCAGAACATAAAATGAGGAGCTAACTAAAATACCACATGATACATAAGAGAAAAAAGAGTGACTTGTTGCTTGTTGGTTAAGTTTCTTTTCTCTGCACACTTATATCAAACATAAATGGAGCTGCTTTTTAAGGAAGAGATTTTCCTCACTCAAAGAGGCTGCCTCACGGTCCTGAACAATGAAAAACGAGCAGAGAAGCAGCCACAGCAGTCTCTCTGAATCACACCTCAGAGCAATTACAAAAGGGAGCCTGGCAGCACCTTTTTCTTGACGCTACTGGTACAGTACCCTGGATGACGGATGTCCAGTCTCTGGCTGGAACACAAAGGAAATAGAGGTTGGGAAATGGGGTAAGTGTGGGGAAGGACTGAGGTCTCTCTGAGCAAAGAAGCTGGCATTAATTATCAGAACTGGCATTCCAGACAAGAAGAAATTCCATCTTTAAACCCTAACTCTACTTAAGTGTCACTCTGATAGTGAGTTATAGCCTTTTGTTTCTTCTGAAAAACCTTACTTTAGAAAAAGAAAGGCAAGTGTGTTGTTTTCAACTTCAGAAATTGTTTGTTTGCCATGCTGGGGATCAAACCCAGGGCCTTGTACATGCTAGGCAAGCTCTCTACCACTGAGCTACACATCCCCAGCTCTCTACTTCAGAAAATTTTAAGGAATAAAATCTTCCCATATGGTGTAAAGGAGAAACTCAGAAATTAAATACCAAGCCTAGCAGGCATTTTCTCATTCCCTATCTCAACACAACACTCAGATCATAACATAAAGGGTAGGGAGGGTGGGGGTGGACAAGGACAGTCCTCCAAAGCCTGAACAATAAAAAAAGAAAGTTCTGATTAAGTTTGAGCTCAGCAGACAATGGTAGCCTAACAAGCTTCCAGTTATATCCACATACTCACCTACCCAGCCTTTTCTCTACAGCACAGAAATGATAGCACCTAAAATGATGCTAATCCAGCAGAGAAAGCTAGGTAGCAATTAGCTACTTACCAAGAAAAAGGATGTGAGGATCCAGGAACTGCAGAATTTGCAAAGAATCCTGCAAAGATCTGTTGTATTATTCTGTTAGAGTAGAAAAAAAATTAGGTAAGACAACAAAAGATAGTACAGATACCCATGGTATCAACTACTCTTCCCCAACCACAATGGCTTCCCACTGACTATTTACACAAGGGACAGCACCAGAAATTGTCTATTACCTAGTGCTGTGAGAAAGTGCTATAATCTTTATCTTTGTGAGCTTTGCCATAGTATGGATTAGCATATTTTTGTGAATTAGAGTGGAAAGGAATCTGATGTCACATTTTTCAAATTAGGTTCCTCGGATCTCTGGCACCAATGTAAGTAGGGCTTAAAAGAGATGCTGAGCCAGTGGGATTCTAGATTAAATTTTTGTATAGCATTTAAAGGATTTTTTTTTTATAATATGAGAAGCATTCTATTTTAAAGGTGTTTCAGATGAATATGACACACATACAAACATACAGATAGGTATGCTTGTCACTTCTCATTCTGAACATTTAAAATGGGACATGTACCCATTTCTCTATCCTGACGAGACAGGTTTTTGTTACCTTTCAAAGAGATACTGGATTGATATATTTCCTGTTCTGAATGATATGCACTTGTAACTCCCTGGTTTCTACTTTATTAGGTCAGCTGATGTAACTTTAACAGTATTAGACTTTCCCTGCTACTAAAGTTCAACAATAATTAAGTATATTGTTTCCTCTGTGTTTTGTTTTTTTTTTCCGGTACTGGGGATTGAACTCAGGACCTTGCGCTTGCAAGGCAAGCGCGGTGCCACTGCGCTAAATCCCTGGCCCTCAGCGGTGTTTTGTTTTTTTTTTTTTTACATAAAAATCCAACTTTATTGAACATAGGAATAGATGGATTTTCAAATTAATAATTTTTGCTTTATGGTTATTAGTATCTGATCCATGGTAGAACTTACTAACTGCTACTATATGAAGATGCTTGTCTATTCTTAATTCTATATTCATAAACATACATATTTAAATCTAGAGAGAAACATTTGTGATTGGCTTATCAGTGCATGGTAATCCCTGGTATATGCACTGCTCAAGCTGGTAATAAGGGGTCATCCATTCTACAGCAAATTTTAAGCACAGGCACAAATTTGAATTTTACACAAAAATTCAGTTTTACTCTTATTCTTACATTAAGTGGGAGCTGACATCTGTAACTTACAGGCAAGCAAATACTTTTGTTTTCTACCTCCTAGCTGAACAAAAATACATATAATGTTTTCTTTAGACAAGACTTGGTGGTTGTTTTTTTTTTGTACCGGAGATCGAACTCGGGTCCTTGTGCTTGCAAGGCAGGCAGCGGAACCACTGAGCTAAATCCCCGGCCCCAAGACTTGGTTTTTATACTTCAATGAGAGTAACATATAATCCTTCCCTAAACAAAATGACCAGGGTATAATGAATCCATCTTTGGAAGAAATATTTAATATGCATATCTTATTTAAATAAATCCTCCAATAAGAAATGGAGAATTCACTGCCTTTACTTTGAAGGCTTTGTAGTTATCTGTCAAATTTATATGTGCAGCTCACTTGGAAATAGCAGTATTTCCACATAATAGTTCTCAAAAGGACTTAAAAGTCTCAAAATTCTGTGTCTCCTTTGGCTTGCTTCTCTCTTGATTCCACCCAGGCTTTATTAATGTTTCGCTTCATATCATTATCTTCATCAATTTTCTTTAGAACATTCATTAATCCTTCACTAGGACCTGTTTCAGCATCATAGGATGGCTTTTCTTTTTCTTTGCATTCTTTTTCAACCTGAGTCAAGTATTCCCATTGCGTGTTTTCTGCTTTCTTTCTACATAAGACAAGAACTGTATCAGTCTTGATTTTTTTTGAACTGCCTTCCACTGAGATGGGTTTTAAGAGATTGTTCACAATCATAGAGTAACTCTTCCCATTTAGATTCTTTACCAAAAGATCAAATGACCTCTCTGTGAATTGCACCTGCACATTCTCAGCAGGAACTTGATGAACTCCAGTTAAGGTAATGTGGATTTTTAACAAACTTATTTGACTGATCCCATCCATAATTACTGATTTTCACAGTATATCCTGTTGTGATGGGAGCAACCACAGCAGCTGGTTTTTCATTGTCAAGAAATTCTGGTTTCTTTTGTGATTTTTGTTGCACCCTATTCTTTATTTCTGTTTCAATCTTGGATTTTTCTTTTCTTTTTTTTTTTTTGGTACCGGGGAATCGAACTTGGATCCTTGCGCTTGTGAGGCAGACGCTGGAACCACTGAGCTAAATCCCAGGTCCCAATCTTGGATTTTTCAACTGTCAGGGCATCTCGTACTCTCTTTCTAGTGGCCTTTTCCAACAACACCTTTACCTCTTCTAGATCATTCTGCAACTCCTCCAAAGCTGAAGGCACGGCCAGGCTGGGTCAGACCGGAGGCCAGAGCAGCAGGCGTGCACGCAAGGACAGGACCCAGTGCGCTCTTCGCGAGCGTGGACCACGGCAGCGTGGGCTGCGGGACCGGCGGCTGCGCGCACAGCCGACCTGCGCGAGGTCCCGGCCCGCCCTCTGCCTCAGTGGTATCTTTTTGTATTGTGGTTTCATTGCTTATTTTTTAATTGGAAAAATTAAAAATATATTTTTTTAGTTGTAAAACATGTTTAGAAATATGCATATATTGTGGAATGGCTAAATAAAGCTTATGAACTAGGCATTACCTCGTATACTTATTTATTTGTAATCAGAACACTTCCAATTTATTCTTGCAGCAAATTTTCCCCCCAGTGCTGGAGAATGAACCCAGAGCCTTCACACTGAGCTTCATGGGACTATCTTTGGAATACAGCAGCAGGCAGAAGCTGGAAAGACTTTGAGGAAAGCATCAGAGAACATTTGAAGAAACAGTTATAAGAGCCCCAATGTGGTGGTACACACCTGTAAATCCCAGCTATTAAGGAAGCTGAGAAAGAAGGACTGCAAGTTTGAAGCCAGCCTGGACAACTTAGCAAGAGCCCACCTCAAAATAAAATGTTTAAAGTTCTGGGGATGTAGCTCAATGGTATAGCACTTACCTAGCATGCTGAAGACCCTGGGTTAAACACCCAGCACTGTAAAGTAAAACAAAATAGTGCAAGAATGTAAGAATGTAGGCTCAGTGGTAGAGCACTTGCCTAGCATGTGTGACCTTAGGTTCAATCCCCAGCTGACCCCCCCAAAAACAAACAAAATACAACAACCAAAAATAGTAGAAGCACAATGGCCTTTGAGGAAGTTATGGATGAGAGCTAAAGTAAATGCTGGACAAATCTTAACTGGAAACTAGAAGGACAAGGATCCTTGTAAATTGTCTCAATTCACCAATCAAAAGAAACAGATTAGCAGAATGGATCAAGAAATAAGATCCACCAATATGCTGCATACAAGAAACACATTTGACTCAAAAAGAAATTCACAGATTGAAACTCAAAGGATGGAAAATAATACTGCATGTGACAGGAACCTGGAAAAAAGCAGGGGGAGCTATTCTACTTGCAGACAAAGTGGATCTCAAGCCAAGACTGATCAGAAGAGACAAAGAAGGTCACCACATACTTGTTAAGGGAACAATCCAAGAGGAAGAGATAACAATCACAAATATATACTCACCAAATACCAGCACACGTAATTACATAAAACAAACATTAATAGACTTGAAAAATCAAATAAGCACTAATTCAACTCCAATGGGGGGAACCTCAATATCCCACTGTCACAAATAGACAAAAAAAAAAAAATCAACAAAAAAATAGCAGAACTGAACAAAATCTTTGAACATGGACTTAGCAGGTATCTACAGAGTGTTCCACCCCACAACAGAATACACATTCTTCCCTTCTACACATGGGACATTCTCCAAAACAGACCACATAGTAGCCCACAGAACATGCTTAAGTAAACGCAAAGGAACTGAAATTATCCCATGCATATTATCAGACCATAGTGAAATAAAATTGGAAATCAATGACAAAAGAAACCACAAAACTACAAACACAAATTAAATAACATCCTTCTGAACAAGATGAAATCAAGAAAGAAATTAGTTTCTACAATTCAACGACAATGCCAGTACAACATACTAGAACTCGTAGGATGCAATAAAAGCAGTCCTACCAGGAAAATTCTTAGCAGTGAATTCCCACATCAGAAAAACAAAGTGTGCTCAAATAACCTAATGTTGAACCTCAAGCTTCTAGAAAAAAAGAGCAAGTTAAACCCAAAGCATGCACGAGGGAAGAAATTATAAAAATTAGAGCAGAAATTAATGCAATGGAGACTAAGAAAATACAAAGAATCAATGAATCAAAGGGTTGGTTCTTTGAAAGAGTAAAGAAAATAGACAAACTCTTAGCAAACTTTATTTTAAAAAAGGAGGGAAAAGACCCAACTCCATGCAATTAGGAATAAAAAAGGTAAAATCACAACAGATCCTGAAGAAATCCAGAAGATCATCAATATCTTTGAGAACCTGTACTCTAATAAGATGGAAAACGCAGAAGAAATGAACATTCTTTGATACATATGAACTACCAAAGCTGAATCAAGATATAAAAATTCTCAACCCAGTATCAGTCAATGAAATTGAAGAAGTAATTTAAAAAACACTACCAAGAAAGAAAAGCCTAGGTCCTGATGGATTCACTGCTGAATTCCACAAGAAATTTAGAGAAGATCTAATGTCACTACTTCTCAAACTCCTTAATGAAATTAAAAGGGAAGCAACATTCCCAAACTCATTCCTGGAAGCAACAATTACCCTAATAGAAAAACCAGAGAAGGATCCAACCAAAAAAGAGAACTACAAGATGAACTTGAGACATTTTTAGGTAAATTAATTCACCTTGATACCATGCTTTTAAGTGAAATAAATCAGACACACATGTTTAAATACCACATTGTTTCTCTTGTGTGAGAAACTGAAAGCACAAATAAGGACCAAAATAAGGATGATAGATACTGGGAAGTAGGAAAATGCTGAAATGGGAAGGGAGGGTGGAAGGAAGGGAAAAGGG